ATGCGTGGCTGCCCCTTCTCCATCTACTGATTCATTCATTCATTCATTCATTCATTCTCACCTAACACCCTTCCCCTTCCCTATATTACTTCATTCTCATATTTCCTTCTGCATCACTCTTTCTCTCTCTCTGTCTTTATCTCTTCCCACCATACTAACCTTTCAATCCAACAACACCATGTTAAGTGTAGCTCCTTCTGTTGATACCAATACTACCAAAGAGATGCCTGCAACAAAAACAGAGCAGAACCAAATTCCTCAGACTACCCATGTATTCAAATCAAAATTACCAGACATACCAATCTCCAACCACATGCCCCTCCATGCTTACTGCTTCGAAAACCTCTCCAAATTCGCCGACCGTCCTTGCCTCATCGTCGGCTCCGCCGCCAAAACATACACTTACGCAGAGACTCACCTTATATCACGCAAGATTGCAGCCGGATTCTCGAACCTCGGCATCCGAAAGGGCGACGTCGTCATGATCCTCCTCCAGAACTCCGCCGAGTTCGTCCTCTCCTTCCTCGCCGCCTCCATGATCGGTGCCGTTGCCACCACCGCCAACCCGTTCTACACCGCCGCCGAGATCTTCAAGCAGTTCAGCGCCTCCAAGGCGAAGCTCATCATAACTCAGGCAATGTACGTGGACAAGCTCCGCAACCACGACGGCGGATGGAGCCTCGGCGAGGACTTCAAGGTCGTGACCGTGGACGATCCGCCGGAGAACTGCCTCCACTTCTCGGTGCTCTCGGAGGCGAACGAGAACGACGTTCCGGAGGTGGAGATCCATCCGGACGACGCGGTGGCGCTTCCGTTCTCCTCCGGCACCACGGGGTTACCGAAAGGAGTGATTCTGACTCACAAGAGTTTAACCACGAGCGTGGCGCAACAGGTGGACGGGGAGAACCCTAACCTCTACCTCACTACCGAGGACGTACTCCTCTGCGTGCTCCCGCTCTTTCACATATTCTCGCTCAACAGTGTGCTGTTATGCGCGCTGAGAGCCGGGAGTGGCGTTTTGCTGATGCAGAAGTTCGAGATTGGGACGCTGCTGGAGCTCATACAGCGCTACCGCGTGTCGGTGGCCATGGTGGTGCCTCCCTTGGTGCTGGCGCTGGCAAAGAATCCGATGGTCGCGAATTTTGACCTCAGTTCAATACGGTTAGTTCTCTCCGGTGCCGCTCCCTTGGGTAAGGAGCTCGAAGACGCCCTCCACAGCAGGGTGCCTCACGCTGTTTTGGGACAGGTAACTAATTACCGTACACATTCCCTTAATTTTATTAATTATTATAATTATTATGGACGTAAAACTCTAATTCTAACATTATAAAAAATTAAATAAATAAAAATTAACGTAAAAGTTATAAGAAGACAAAGGATCATGTGGATTTATAATAATAATAACATTTAATTATGCCACCCATATTTTACGCGGGTACTTATTTCTTATAAAGCTTTTGCATGCGATGATAATTACGAATGGTCACACCAAAGAGAAGGAAATATATTTGGGGCATGTGAGGATACCTTAAACACTTGTTATTCATACATACATATATTGAGTAGTACAGATAGATCAATAAATTTTATAATTAGCTGTGATATAATTATAATAAGGAGGAGAGTATTTATTATTAAGAATATATATACGTCTAAATAAATGATTAAGATAAAATAATCAGGGTTTTTACTAGATTAAAAAAATAAATATAGTATGTGCATGACAACCGGTCATGTATTTTTTCAAATGCAGCTCACCGCACCAACTCCCAAAATAGTGTGAAATAGGCGCACAAGCTTCCACACAAGACTTTTAGTGTCGTGTCATGTTTGATTTGGTCAGTGACGTAAGCCAAACTAACAATAGACCGGTCAAAAATTCACTGCCACCTCGGTTTACGCCACTCCACTGCAACCCAATTCCTTTAATTTTAAACATTTTCATAATAATAATAATAA